TATATATATATATATGTATTAGATTCTTTGAAATTTGCTTACTCACTTTTGGAAGCTCTGGGAAACCCAGTTAAATGTATTTATTCATGATTCCAAGGATTGTTATACATTGCGATAAGCAGACTATTTATTACATTTGTACAGCCGTGGTGGTTTTGTTTATGTTTGTGCCGTACTGAATTGTCATCTAACTCACAAGTTGTAATTGATGGCTTGTTTTCCTCTTACAAAGCAAAACCGTAGTTGTCATTATTTGCTTGTAATTGGAAACTAATTGAAAACATGGAAACATGTCTTTTCTTGTAAAGGTCTGTTCCTACCTTCATTTAGAAAATGAACACAGACATTTTTGCACCTACAGGGTTCGATGATTTATGATGTGTTTGAAAAATGGAGTTCTAGGTTTCATGTGTGGGGGTAGATCATGAACCATTTTAGGTTAATTACTTTATTAATAATAGAATTCTCTGCTTTTTCATTTGTTTGTGAAAATTGGAACATTATTATTCACTAGAAGAAGAAAGCAGCCCTACTTTGTAAAGTTGAAAATTACATCCTTACTTATGGTAGCAAATTTCCTCTTATTTGGACAATTGGGAAATGAATTAAGTATTAGAGAAACTTGTGTATGGATAAGCATCTACAGTGCAAAATGTGTTCTGCTGTGGCTTAATTTCCTGTTATAGCTGGAGTTGAACTCTGGGGAGCAACTTTATTCATGGGAAAGTCAGCTCAACAGGTATTTATTTCCAGCTAGTCTCACAGAAAGTAAGACCTTAGAGAGCAAGAGTCTTATTTCCAGTGGGTCCTTAGCCTGGTCTAGTTTCTCCTCCTCAGTTTCTTCACAGTCTTGTTCTCATTGATTCTTCATCCCAGCATATCTGGGACTGGTCATTCATTGCTGTAAGTTAGACCTACTCAATGTAGCAGCGATTTTCATTCCACTGTTTGGAAATTGTTTTGGGGAGAGGGAGACAGAAGGCCCCTCATTGACAACTGACTTCATAACCCTGTAATATTGACTGCGTTGTAATGCCGACTTCATGATTTACCTGCGTCTTCCCATTTATAGTCTTCAAGTCCTCAAAATGCATGGTAAAATTGTCCATCATAAAAACAACTATGTTTTGTGTGTGTGTGTGGTGTGTAGACATGTATCTGAGTGTGTAGGTCAGGGGTCAGCCTCAGATGTTCCTCAGGAGCTATCCACATTTGTTTTTTTTTTCTTGCTGTTGTTTTGTTGAGACAAGGTCTCTCACTGGGACCTGGGGCTCACTGACTAGGCTAGGCTGGCTGGCCCCAAAGCTCCAGGGATTCTCCCATCTCCCCAGGCTGGGATTGCAGGTGCTACCATGTTTGCTGTTTATGTGGGTGCTGGGGATCGAACTCGGGTACTGATGCTTGTGTGGCATCAGTACCTGAGTACTTGAGTTACTTTACTGATTAAGCTACTTCCTCATTCCCTGCCCACCTGTTTCTTTTTTTTCTTTAATTATTTATTTAATAAACACATAATTAGAAGAAGCATTTCATTACAACAGCATTGACATATCCAATAACAATTTCCAGAGCTAAGATGCATCTTTCAAAATTGGCTGTAAACTTTTAGGTTTCAGTTGAATTAATATAGTTATACAATATTGTATGGGGTATAAACCCTATAAGACATAAAATTAAATGAGGTTTTAACCTTTAAAAAAGATCTCCATTTCATTATTAAAATATACAGTTTCATACAGAAAAATTCATTTTTAATGCAACTGACACTAAGATGTTTGCACATGCGTTTCTAATCTCTATATATCTGATTATTACTAGTCATAGTCGGTTACTTTCTGAGCTCCTTGGCATCTGAGCATGGATATAAAGTCATCAGGTAGATTTCAATGGTAATGTTTTTCACATCTACTAATTATTAAGGAGCAAATTTGATGCTTTGAAGAATTATTATTTTTTAAAATTAAAAGAAATTTAATAACCACATGATTAGAAGAAGCATTTCATTACAGCTTTAACATATACAGTAATACACTCCAGAGCAAGGATACATCTCTTTCAAAAGTGGCTGTAAATTTTTAGGTTCACAGTTGAATTAGTAGTTATACAATATTGAATTCAGTATAAACCCTATAAGATATAAAACTGAATGAGTTTTTACCCTTTAAAGATCTCCATTTCATTTTAAAATATGCTGTTTCCTACACTTTTAAAATATTTTTTATTTTTTTAGAAGAAGCATATCATTACAGCCTTAATATGCACAATAGCAGTTTCCAGAGCAAAGATACAGCTCTTTCAAAAGTGGCTATAAAATTTTTAGGTTCGCTGTTGAACTAATACAGTATGACAATATTGAACTCAGTATAAGCCCTGTAAGACATAAAATTGAGTGCGTTTTTAACCTTTAAAAAAGATCTCCATTTCATTTTAAAATAAACTGTTAATTACAGACTCATTGTTTTTGCTACTAACACTGAGATGTTGGCACAAGTGTCTCTAATCTGTATGTATCTGATTATTACTAGTCATAATTGGTTGCACTCGGATCCTTGGCGCCTGTGTATGTCTATAAAAGTATCGGGTAGATTTCAATGGTAATGTTTATCACCTCTACTAATTAACGTGACATAAATTTCCATGCTTCCTCCTCAAATATAATACATTTAAAAAATTTGTTGATTTGTGTGTGTGTGTGTGTGTGTGTGTGTGTG